TTCGTCCTCCGACAAGATTCGAACCTGTATCCTCTACGGAACCGTCATATAGCTTGACGTGCCTTTAACCGATTTGGCTACAGAGGAGCGTTCGGTTAGCAATGTCGAATTTACTGTATTTGAACTTCAATCTTCTATTAATCTCTCACGTACATTCATATCTGCTCAGACGTATCAAATGTAAACAAATGACGTCCCACATTATGAAATGGACAAAGTCCGACAATTATTTTAAGGCATTTACTTAAATATTTGTATCTATAAAAAGAATGTATAAACATAAAAATGTCTTAATATATATATATATATATATATATATATATATATATATATATATGAGGACTATATGCCAAGTAATCAGTCAGTCCAAGTTAAAGTTCATGTAATCCGTGTTATATTACGTGCTTGAGACGAAGTCATTAAGAAACCTCCCCGTGGCTCATCTATTTCCTATCGTACGAAAACTCTTCATAAGAAGAAACTGGTCTCTAAAAAAAAATACTTCGACGTGGTGTAATGATTAGCAGGCTTTTCACGCTAGATCATATTGCTACTGAGTAGTGAGTTCGATCCTCTCTAGGTTCTCCATACTTTCAGCCTTGTGCCACGTCTGAACTACGCTTAGTAAATCATTATCCATACTTTGTATTTATACTTTATCTGCTTTCTTATTTTCATTTCTGTTCTCTTTGTGGACGACTTGAATATATTTTCACCCACTCTACTTCTCACACAAGGGATCCTACTTGACCATAAACTGTACGAGCTCTCCATCGTGTTTCTGAGATTTTTAAACTGCAATCAGTAAGTCATATGTTGATTATCTCATATTCCATTTCTTTCTTTAAGCTGCTTAGTTTTTCTCAATTGGAATAATATTTAATAAAAAAAATAATCTCTTCAGCACATCTCATAGTCGCCATTAATATTTTGACCTTTTTGTTTACGTCTCTGACTAACAATGGTAATGAATGTGCACAAGAGTGAGTGCAATGAATTCTGGATTGAATATTATGATCTGTGCTGCAAAACCACAAGATTTTCCACGCATGTTGCCTGCGCCGTCGAAATATTGAATTTGCTACATACCCAGGATGAGTTGATATCTCGTCAATAGATCAGGAACAAGAACGCCACCAATAATATTTAAAATTTCATAAAAAATCGAGTATTTTTTCAAATACCTCAAGATTATAATTTACTCAGTGTGTACAGAAAACCAACTGTTCTTTCATAGACATATCCATATAACTGTCACCTCTAACTGGATTCGATGGGTTACAAATAACTTCATGTAACATTAGAAATAAAATCTAAATTTGAATTTCATGGCTCGTAAAACTACCCGCTTTCTTACGCAACCAATTCTTAAGTCTCTGAAAACGATTACGATCGCAACTTAAGACGCTGATTGAAAATTAATTCTTCATCATAATATCCACGCATGGCTAATCCCTGATTGTACTAGACATTGTAAAGTTTCCAAAATGGCCATAAAACAGTGATAATTAATTCATCTACGTATTTTCATTTTCATTTTTGTCTATTATATCAACAACATCATTATACTGTGGAATTATGACTCCAAGAGTAAGAGCAGTTTTGTTAGATCAGGATGTCTGCTTTATGGAAAATCTTTCTGTTGCTTCTAATTTCTAAAACCTGCTTTTATGAATGCTTCCCCCTTGACTATTTCTGCTAACAAATGTGCTTCAGTAAACATTTTTTATTTTAAATACGCAATTGAAAGAAATAACAAAAGAAAATAATTAGACAGCGTAGATAGCAGGCACTAATGCCACCTCATATCGTAATTCCTTCGCCAATAAACTTATTGTAGTGAGTTAAAGCCACAATAGCTGCAGGAATTCCTGTAGAGGACATACATAGTAGCAACATAAATTGACGAACGCTTTTAAAAACTTGTGCTTTCAAAAAGAAACACTCACTTCACTTTTCCTTTGCCTATGCGTATAGTCAAAGTCTAACGGGAAGCGCTACCCTACAATCAGTAAGTTGTATAGTAGCTTAGTATAGTTGTTGTTAATGAAAGGCGTACCTTTACCTAACCAGACTTTTTTTTTGTATGGAATAAATATTTCATAAAATTCTAAGCTGAAGGATATTTGCTTTCATTTCTTATCGTTTTACTGAAAACAGTGTAGGTGGTGTAGATAACTCTTCGATAAATATACATACCACTTGATCAAGAACACCTCGTTTCGTTGTTTAACATATCCGAAGAAAACCTGTAGTAGAAAGGAGTGTCAAGACGAATGCACTTTTTATTCTGTCCAGATCACGCTCTAAAGCTCAGAGAGCTTTTTTTGAGAATAATATTTTCCAACTGATAATTGTCTTTTTTGTTGTATTTACGCAAACAAAGTTTCAACTTTGTTCGCATCAATAATAAATGAGAGTTACTGACTGATATGTCCTGAAAAGGGATATATTTGTTCGAAGTAGCAAAGTGGTTGTTGACTACTGTAACCGGGTAGGACAATCTAGCAGGTAACTCTAATGGACTGGTCCTCGTCGTAGTGGTAGACAATAGGCGTAGGCAATAGGCGAAGACTATAGGCGTAGTCCATGTACCTCCACATCAGTCTGTATTTATTGCTGACACCAACCAATCATATTACTGTGAGGGGGAACCCAGGTGTATGCATATTCATTACATCACTGACCAAGATGTAGACACACACACACACACACACACACACACACACATATATATATATATATATATATACGCTGACAAAACATTGGATTAATAAGAAAAGCTCGTTCTGTTTCATTGGAAAATGACAGTAGGTGTATTTAATTTTCATGAATTTGATTGGAAAAGGTACCCTTTTATTGTATTGTGGAAACTGTCGTATTAGCGTGCATTTAAAAAGGAGTTTCTCAAAATGACTATATTTATGTTTTAAGCGACACTTTCGTCCTTTTATAAATTTTTTAACATAAGAAAAGTAAAAATGCGATTCAAATGCAAAAATATGAGTTGTGCAATTCATGAAGAAGAATGATTGAACATATAAAATGTGGTTTGCATGTTCCATGATTTCTTGCTGAAATATGCACTATTGCTGGATAGATCTGTTGAGATTTATGAAAATAAAATCACGATATTATTTGGGAATAATCAACACTATAGAATATGGAAAATAGCCAAAGAAAAAAATGGAAAATATCCAAGACAAGCAGTGAAAAGTATTTACACCAGTTTGATTATATTAGTCACTTTAATGTACAGCTTCCATGTAAGTGAAAATAGGCAATGGCTGGCATGCATTTTTAGATACAAATCACAGTTTGACCTTTTTTGCCACATGAATTTTTAATAAAAATGTAAAGGTAAAAATGCAATTGAAACGTAGTAAATGATTTGTGCAGTTTATGGAGAAGGTTCCGTGGATGACTGAACGTGTTAAAAGTGGTTTGCAAACTTTCATAATGTAGATAATATGTATAAAAGATTCAAATGAAGTGTTGAGAGTAATTTCCACCATTTTGTAATCCGTCACACGTACATAATACAAGTAATAACAGAAAGACTTCAATGTAAAATAATAAAATATTTAATCATCAAATACAATTAAAATACAACGGAAAGATTATTGATTACTTATCAGTTAATACACGACTGCGTAGTACTGCAAAGAAAAGTACTAATTCGTCTTGAAACACGAGACATTCGACTTTAACGTCCGGGTTAACACAATAGTCAAATTTATAGTAAATGGCAGTTAACATTTTCATTGTCTAGAGATTCACGTTCAAACCCCGGTATCAGCAGTGACACTTTTTATTCATATATGACACACCGGTATAATTACATTCATCGCTTTGATGTGTGACATCCAACTAATTTTTGCGTAAAAACAAACAATACTTGATCAAATTTAAACGCTACATTTTTAAACAAAATGTAATGGGTGACAATTTGTTTATGTAACCAACATGGGACACATATAATGGAAGAATTGATATGAACGACAACGAATTACTCTAAAGACTGCTCTTCCTGCAGAGAAAGTGATGGTGTTTATTTCTTAGAGAGACTCAATAGATGTTACTACTGGTAGATACCGGCTGCTCATGCACATATTTTCTTTTTAAATTTTAGCCAAATTTCCTCTTCATTGGCCGTTACCTAGGTTTCATCAACCCACAGCTTCTATACACATTTCCCTGGCTTAAATGAACACTTGTTCGGGTTGAATGCACTCGTGGTAAAGAAGCAGGAGGTTCAGAAAGAAGAGGAGGAGAAAGAAGAGGAGGGGGAAGAGGCTGAAGAGGAAGGGAACAATGACGAGGGCGAGGAGAAAGACAGTAAAGAGGAAAAGGAGGAGGAAGAGGTGGGGGAGGATTGAGCGAAGAAGTAATTGGTCTATTTCTCTTTCTTTCTAACTGATATTATTCTTCTTCATTTTAACAATTGTCTCCCTTTTAATAATTTCCATCATCATAGTCCTGTACCTAACTTTCGCACACACACACACACACACACACACAGAGGAACATACACACACGTAGAGGCACACATACATACGCACACACAAAAACGCACATGCTCCTTTAGGATGTAGGCGTACATGGCTATCCATAAACCCCTTTTCTTTATTATCATTAGAGAAAAATTTTTGGTTGGTTGTTTAGCGGCATATCAACACCCCCATGGGTTATTTAATACCGAAATCTAAATATTTTGTACATAATTTTATTGTATTTTATTTTTGAGATAATGGTTTAATGATAAAGTGCTTCAGAGGACGAAACGCATTGGCGAAGATAAGTTCTCCTTTTGTCTTACAATTAACACATAGCGAGGTGGAGAAATCTTACTATTTAACTCATATGGAGGGGGAGAAGAGACGTATTCATATCTTTCCCAAGGGTATTTGGATGTGAACGAATATAACGAATCCAATTGAAATTGGCACTCGGCTCTCCGATCAACAATTCCCAGCCATTACCCCACCTCTACATCTAAGATTACAGTACCTAGTATTCCCAAACGGTCACCCATTTAGGCACTGACCATGCTCGACGTTGCTTAACTTCGGTGATTGTACGGGAATAAGTGTTTCAACGTTACATGGCTATAAAAGTTCTTGAGAAAGAAAGAGAGGGCAGTAATTTCCCGTTGCCTTCACGGTTTGGAACTTGAAGTTTTCCTTTTCTTAGACAGATTATCAGTCAAGACACGAAATCTTAGTTTTATTGACTATGGCTTTTCTGAAGTTATATATATATATATATATATATATATATATATATATATATATATATATATATATATATATATATATATCAAGAAAGAGAGAGAGAGAGAGAGACAGAGAGAGGGAAAGATAGAAAGGGTGAGATAGATAGATAGATAGATAGATAGATAGATAGATAGATAGGTATGAACAGAAATAGATGAATAGATAGATATGAACAGACTGATGTGTAGTATGAGATAGATATGAACCGACTGAGATAGATAGATAGATAGATAGATAGATAGATAGATAGATAGATAGATAGATAGATGAGCATAAATAGATAAGTAGATAGATATGAACAGAGTGAGATAGTATAAAATAGACAGGCATGAACAGAATGATATATATATATATATATATATATATATATATATATATATATATATATATACATAAATACACACACACACATATATATATATCTATACATAAATATATATATATATATATACATAAATACACACACACACACATATATATATATATATATATATATATATATATATATAGAGAGAGAGAGAGAGAGTTATGAACCGATTGCGATAGATATGAACCGACTGAGATAGATATGAATAGAATTAGATAGATAGATAGATAGATAGATAGATAGATAGATAGATAGATATGAAAAGAATTAGATAGATAGATAGATAGATAGATAGATAGATAGATAGATAGATAGATAGATAGATAGATATTTTCTCCTCCCAACTATCGGAAATGTATCCATTGCTATATAAAGTTCCAGAATTTTTATTCTGCCATTTTTACTTATTATCAAACAATAATCCCCTAGCCTAACACTAAACTCCTTCAGCTGTGCACTGGTTGACATCCATGCAGTGACCTGCATCTCGAAAATATCCATTCAATCGGGCGAGTTAAACTTGACCTTCACTTCTTTTTATGCCTAGCCTCGGGCCACTAAAATGACCTTTAACAATAACCAGACGCTGAATGCATTTTCATTTGCACCCTTAGAGATTTCTGGAGAGGCTCTTACAGGCTTTCATCGAAATTGTATCCGGTCAGCACTGGTTAAGTGTAACTTCATGTTCAGTTACTCCATATAGAGCACCGACTTTAAATAAAATTAAAAAAAAAATGATTCAGAATAAAAGTCGTTTTAAAAATGTGTGTCTACCCTTAGACTTCCAAAATTATTGATTTCTAGCTATCGTTTGTTTTTTGTCACTAATTTGATTTGCTAAAACATGTCAGATTGCAACCCAAAAAACTCGCGCCATCTCTCTCTCTCTCTCTCTCTCTCTCTCTCTCTCTCATATTAATCTGAACATTATTTAAGCAGAGAGTAAGCTATAATGTCGGATTAAAACTAGAACCTATTATTTCCTTTGAAATTAATCTGTTTAGTCCTCAAATGTCGTTTTCAGAAAAGATCTGAGCGAGACATGCATTCTTTAAACGGTGAATTGAAGCCTGCTGGTCCGCGACGCGCCCTCTATATGGTTGAACAATCTGAAGTAAGCTGGATCAAACAGGGGAATCACTTACAAAGAGAGACGTAGGTTCTAAACATGTCAGTGAGCACTTCTCCCTTTTATTATATCTCTCCAATGTACAAGATGAAAGCAAAGAAGAAAAAAAAGCATGTCTACTCAGACATGTGTTTCCTCTAAAAAAAACGTCAACAGTAATAAGAAATAATATTGGATTAAAAATAGAATCTATCAATTCTTTAGTAATACATACATATATATATATATATATATATATATATATATATATATATATATATATATATATATATATATATATATATGTGTGTGTCATTAGCAGACAGTACTGTTTCGCTGTATCACAGCTCCCCAGTGCAACTAGACATCCGAATGCTTCAGGCCAGAACCGAAACCCGACCAATTTGACCGCTGAGCTATTACCATTCAGCAGAGAGACACAGCTAATTCTAGCGTATTGTTTTTACGAATGTAAACAAACGCCAATATATATATATATATATATATATATATATATATATATATATATATATATATATATATATATATATATATATATATATAGTAGTACAATAATAATAATAATACTTACAGGTGTGTGTGTGTGTGTGTGTGTACGTTTTATATATTGGATCAGATTTCCTACATTTTTCAACCGATTTCAACAAAACTTCACAGGACTACGTAAAATTACCTTGCGGTGGTTCTGACAGTGCCAAAAATTGGAAAAACACAATTGTTTTTGCACGAAACCAATTTGAAAACCCGATTAAGAGGCATCGCGAGAATGAAAGGGGGACAACTCATATTGAATTATACTTATTATTATAAAACCCAGATTGTGTGTGTGTGTGTGTGTGTTCGTTTATATATGGGATCGGATTTCCTACATTTTTCAACCGATTTCAACAAAACTTCACTTTTTTGGCAGATAGTGTTTCTTATTGTCTTGCACACTTTTTTCTTTATTTTTACATTCAGAATGCTTTAAAAATTACATTTACAAGACAATTGTTTATAATAAAATTCTATTCAATCGGTAGACTCATAACGATTGAAAACAATGTTTTTGTTTGAGTTTGAGTTTGACCAATTTGTAAAAAAAAAAAATAAAATAAAAAATAAAACTAATTAAGACATGCGTGTCAATAATCTTTGTCAATTTTATTTTTCAGTCTTTATGATGGTCAATACTTGATTTATTTCTTACTGTTACATCCCCGGGCAACGCCGGGTACTACTGCTAGTATCAAATAGGTAAGTGGTAAGGATAATCCAAATAGGTCTTTTTAATATAAATATTATAAAGATAGATGGAGAGAGCTCAATGCATATACATCAAAAGGAAAATATCTTAATACATCATTAAAGAATTCGGTAATAATTTATTTCAGACAGACAACTGCCGCATCAGACCGGAGTTATAAAATTGTCTAAATCATCCAGACAATCTATTAAAAATGACGAGAGTCAATGAATAAAAGATTTGACCGAAAAAAAACTCCTTGAAGAGATAAGAGGAAGAGGGGAAGAAAAAGAAAATGTCAACCCAATGGGCAGGGCCGGTAGAGGGAATACAAAGTTACAGCCAGTGAAATACATTGAAAATAAATCAAATTTATACCTTCATCATCATCTAATCTAAAAATTATCATATATATATATATATATATATATATATATATATATATATATATATATATACCTATACATATGCATACCTGCACATATATACACATATGCACAAGTGCATACAGACATACATACATGCAAACAAATATATACATATAAACACACATATACACATACATACACACATACGCATATATACACATACACCCAACATATATATATACACACATATATACATATACATACATATACATGTGCAGTAACATATACACACACATTCATACATCTATACATACTAGTCATATACACACAATTTAACATATAAATACACATCCATCTATACACACACGCACATATATATATATATATATATACATATACATATATACACACATACACATATGCACATCTCTCTATATATATGTATGTATATATATACACATCTCTCTATATATATGTACATATATACACCTATACACACACAAATACACACATAAACACTTATATGCAGCACACATACACACGAATACGTACATACATACATATACATACATGTACACGTACACACATGCAACACACACACACATACACACACACACACACACACACACACATATATATATATATATATATATATATATATATATATATATATATAAGCACATATACATATAAAATGCATATATACATGTCAGCAAACGTTCACACATTCAGCAATTTGAGCGGAGTCAAAGGCACCCAACCTGACTTAGTAGATATCTACATTTTAAACATCCTTAGTAGTATTATTGATCCTAAACAGGTGTGTCTATATAGAGATGATGGACTTATTTTTAGCCCTAATAATAATGGTCCACTCTCTTCTAATTTACAAAAGAGAATTATCAGGGCTTTCAAATTCCTTGGGTTTAGAATTGAAATTTTTCCAATCTGAAAACAATTAATTTTTAGATATAACTTTCAAACTTCCAAACAATACCTTTAAAACATATTACAAAGATATTCTAATCTATATTAACGTTAACTCTAATCATCCCATTCCAATAATTAGACAAATTCCCACAACAGTAAATACTAGAATCAATAGATTATCTTCTAATAAAATTTGTTTAATGAAAATAAAAACTCTTATAATGATGCCATCGAAAAAATTGTCTTTAAACAAAAATTACTATACTATCGTTATAATAAAATAAATGGACCCAGCCATAGAAAAAGGAAAAGTTATATGGTTTAACCCTTCCTTCTGCCGACTATCTAATATAAGCATTGGTCAATACGTTGTGAAATTGATTGACAAACATTTTAACAAAAATAACCCTCTAAGTAAAATGTTTAATAGAAAAACCTTACAAATTAGCTACTCCTGCACAAATAGCATCTATAATATCATTAATTCACATAATAATAAAATATTAAACAAATTTTATAACAATAACCAACTAGATAGCAAACTATCTTGTAACTGGAGAAACAAAAACAACTGTCCAGTTGGAGGTGTATGCCTATTCGAAAATGTTACATACCAAGTAACCATTTTCCCTAAAGAAAATGCAAGCAATAAAAAAGTATATATTGGAATTTTTGCTGGTATTTGGAAGCAGAGATTCTACTGCCACAAGCATTCTTTCTCTAACCCTTATCTAAAACACCAAAAAGCTCTTTCCAAACATTTCTGGGAATTAAAGGATAGAAATTTCATCCACAGATAGAATG